AATAAATCACTTCTTGTTTCCGAATTCACACCCAATCAACGGATCCTTCCTGAGAAATCATAAAGGAAGGGAGATGAAAGGGTGAAAGGTGCCTGATGTCCCTGTGAGTTGGGGCAGCTGTGACTTTCCTGTCCTGCTCCTGTCCCCTGACAGGATTGTTGGTTGCTACAACCAGCAAGAACTTAAACACCCATCCTGTGTCAGTGGGCATCATCACCACCATCCTCTTTAAGCACTGAGCCAGTGCCACGTGTCCTTTTATGCAGAGACTGAGTCTGTGCCATGATTTTATGTTCAGCTGATGGACCAAAATTCAACCCAAGCTGCGGAGTCCATGCAGGGAACAGAAGAGCCTCAGCAACTGAGAATTCTGGACACTGTGTGAAAGCCTTTTAGGTAATGTAGGCATGTCTACTGAAGATCTCAAAAGACACAGCAACACGTGTAACCATTATCATCCCTTACCTCTGGACTCAGATTGATAAGGAGATTAATAATTCATCTTCTCTTGAGATAAAGCACACTGAATATGGCAGCATTTCAGAGCATGCAGTAAAGACTGGGTGCAAGCAAATCACCAGGTGGTAGATCTCTGCGTTAGCAGAAGGTACAGAAGGTCAAGAGCTTTTTTGATAAACGATCTCTGAACTGCTTTTGGGTTTCATTGTAGGTGTTTGGACCGCAGTCTGGCCATGACACAATCCAAACCTTTGCTTTTGCTCTCTGTTCATCCACGCTGTGCAACAACTGCCCTGACCTGGGGGACCGAGAGCAGCAAAATTCTGCCTGAAGATTAAGGACACGCTCAATACTGCTACCAGGCAACTTACAGCACCTTTCATCAAAAGCCAGCAGGAAGATGGATCGAACACAAGGGGAATCCTGCCCCACAGATCTCAAGCCCTTCCCAAGCTGAGTGGAAACACTCGGCCTGTCTTCATCGTCCAGCACAGAGCAAAGCAACCGTGGCCACGCCGTGCAAACAGCCAAAGTTCTTTGCAGCTCATCAGCCCTCTGCACTCACACACTGCCATGCTTTTGGTCCCTCAGACTGGACTGCTCTTTTAAATGCTGCTTCAAGCCCAGCTCTGCGCAAGCAAAGCATCACAGAGAAATGCATCTTTCTGAAGGAGCGGTCGGGTGAATCTTGTGTGGGAGGAAAGTTCTCATTTCTAAACAGACGAGGCGTTGCTGTGTGCACGAAGCTGTGTCTGGCCAGGCCAGAGAGCGCTAAGAAAGGGTGATGCAAAAATAGCACAGGCTGATTCTGAGCATGCAGAAAGTTCATCACTCACCACAGAGTGAGTTCCCAGCACGTGGCGACGCTTTGTGTGTCTCCAGGTTGCGTGTAGCCCTCTGTTGGTTGTCTCTGTGGGCTGATGCAGGGCCAGAGCTCCTGGTGGCTGAGTTCCTCCATTCTCAGAGCAGACAGCAGAACTGCAGCCGTGGTTCTGCTCTGCCCCTTGACTTCACCATCAGCCCTACATCCAAGCAGGGACACATTCTCAATTGTGAGCCCAGAGAAAATGTTTTGTGGGACAGAGGAGTGGGGAGAGGCGCTAGTTTACTTCTACTGCAAGGAATGAAACTGCAGTGCTGTTTCCTTGCGGTGACAACGGCGGCGATAGTGAGTGCAAAGAAGTTTTCTGCTGTTGGAGTTCTGCAGGTGATGGAGAGTGTGTGGCTGCACTCAAGGCTTTGGGTTGTTTGCAGGCTTCTCACTGCTGGGATGCTCCCTGGAGAGTGAGATTGGGCTGAGAATGCAGTCTAAAGAGTAAAGGAGCAGTGGGGATATGTGTAAAGCACAGAAGAGATGCCCTGCCTGGCGCAGAGAAGTTGTATTTGAAGAGATCTTGTAAACAAGATGGACAGTGATTGATTACACAGTTTGGCAGTGGCAGGACAAAGAGAAAGGTTTTAAAATAGATGTGGGGTGATTAATGTCAGACGCTAGGAAGAAATTCTTGATTCAGTGTGTGTTGAGGCTCTGGCACAGGCTGCCCGGAGAAGCAGTGCATGCTTCATCTCTGGAGATGCTCAAGGATGGAACGTAAGATTCTATGATTCTATGGTATAGATAACTGCATTATCTTTAAGATCCCTTCCAAATCAAACCTTTCTCTTTTATGACTTTGATAGACTGGGGGTGGTCAGCAGTTTGGAGGAGACAGAGCAGGGAGGACAGCTGACCTAAAGAGACCAAAGTGACACTGCATGCAGAATGAGGCCATGATCAGCAAGCAGATGTGGGGAAAAGAGGGAGAAAGGAGAAGTTTCCTCCCTCCAGGAAACAGGAAACGCGGACCATGCTGAGGTCTCTACATGTCCTGAAATAAAAGCGGTGTCTCTGCTGACGCAGTAGATGCACCATAGGCTGCATCACAGCCTCTCGCTGTGAATAACTCTGCATCAGCTGCAGAAGCACCACAGGACACGTCCAAGGCTCACAAGACAAACCTGTGACCATCTGCACCCAGCTCACAGCAAAGCAGGAGCCGGGAGAAGAGATCTCCAAAAGATGTGGGTGCAGACGGGATGGGCCACGCCGTGTCCTCGTGTCTCTGCCCTCCTGCTGCTGTTGCTTGGTGAGTTGGGGATGCTGTGGGGAGCAGGGAACCCTGCCTGGAGCAGGAAACCCACCAGTAATATTCTTGGGGTGGTGCTGAGGTTGAAGATGAGTAGGAACATGTGTGTAGGCATGTAAAAATTTGAGAATGAGGAATGCTGTCTGAATTTGAATTTGAGGAGATTGCATCTGGAACCGAAAACACATCTGGACTGGGCTTAGATATGCTGAGAAGGAGATGGAGGAGAGGCAGTATGCAAAAACACAGATGAGATTGCTCCTACTCAGCAACGAGGACATGGGCAGGAACATGTGGGTGAGCAGGACATTGTCCCTCTAACCAAAACCCTCTCTGTCTCATGGTGCAGGTACTGGTGGGAGCACACAGAACATCTGCAGCTCCAGGACTGATGGTGAGTGTGAGAATGGGTCCAGAAAATGAAAACATCGTGGGGGAGGAGACGGAAAGTGAGAAAGGAATCTTTCCCAATGAATTCCCAATGTCCACCCCTGGAGTGCTGGTTGTCCATGCCTTGGGATACAAGGTGTTTTTCAGCTACTGATGCTGGTGGAACCCCTGTGCCATCTCTCCAGGTGCTCTCCAGGCTCCTGTCCTATACCTTAACGCATCCAGTGCTCAGGAAGGGGACGTTGTCCTGGCTCAGTGTGTTCTTCAGGACCAGTTTCCTGCTACCCGAATTGTCTTCTGCAAGGATGGGTTGGAGGTGTACAGCATGAAAGCCCAAGAGGGCAAGGTCATCAACTCCATGCTGCTGAGCATCACTGAGAGAAGCAGTGGGACTTACAAGTGTTTCTACGAGCAGAGGAGCAAGAAAAACTGGCTGAGGAGCTCTGTCCTCAGCGCTCCCCGGGACCTGCATGTCACAGGTGGGGCATGAGATCAGGGTGGTGGGGACACAGGTGGGACTGAACATCCCATGTGCAGCAAGAGATGTCATAGGGTGGGGTTGGTTCTGGAAGGATTCCCTTCTCCATCCCACGCTGCAGAAATGGGGCTCTGCAGTGCCCAGGAAAAGAAAGGAAAGATAGGGGGTGGCCATGGAGCCTTTGAAGAGGGGTAAGGATGCTTCAAGGATCGTTGCAACATCTTTATGAGCGTATGGAAGGGAAATTGGAGCGATTTCCAGGAGTGAGATTGTTCCTTACTGTGTGAGTTCCCACTCGGGAAGAAGATGATGCTGTGGCCATGGTGTGGGGATGGCCAGATGTCGGTGAGCTTTGGGGTCTGGGTGCCCCCACCTTCAACAAAGCCACCAAAAAGAGCCTTTAGATGACGGCAGGAGGGGAAACACAGGATGCAGTCTTGTAAATTTGATGCTGCCATCTCATCTAGGCAGGGCAACATACTAGCCCTTTCTTATCCCCAAGGGCAAGGAAAGAAGAGGGCTGTGCTGCAGTATCATACAATGCACAGCTGCATCTCTGCCATGCATTTCTTGATCCATCATAGTTTCCATAATCGATACCCATGTGGGAGAGAACCCGCATCGTTCCACGTGTCTCAGGGGCAGAGCTGGCTGAGTGGACTCCTGCCCACGGCTGCAAGCTGTGCCCCTACCAATGCATTCAGGGGCTGTGTTCATGCAGAGGTGAGAGTTCAGGGGATACTCAGCCCATCCATTTGTGCCAACAGGCCACGTGTCCGGCTCCACGGAAGGGACAGCAACTGCTGGTGAGGCTTTCCCCTTTACTCCTGCAGTCCCCATGCATCCCAATCTTCCCTCTCGCTCTCCTTTGTCCCCATTTTGTCACTGCGTCCCCAACACACCCCTGTGTCCACATCACTCCCTTCGGACTCAACCGCACTCCATCAACCCCAAGCTCTCTGTCCCCACGCCTCCAATCTGTTCCCAGACCCCAACAACCAGCAGGCCTCCGCAGTCACTGCGGTGGCATCGGTGACTGTCATCCTCCTCCTGTCTGCAGCGACCTTCTGGACCGTCAAGAAAGGTGAGGGTTTGTGGGAACTGTGAGGGATCCACGAGGCTGTCACAGCTCTGATGTGGGACGTTTCTTCTTGCAGGTACCTGCAGGGAGAGGTGCCAAAGGTGAGCAGTAATGGCCTAGTCAGGGCTGGGGGATTCAGGTGCAGCTGGGACCCTGTGCAGGGCAGCATGATCTGCGGGTTCCCCCAAGATAAGGTGGGATTTCCATCCTGTTGGGGAAGAGAGCATTTCCTCATGGGAATATTTCCAACAGAACATGGGCACCTGGTGGATGAGAGATTGCCGTGGGTTTGGATCGAACGCAGTGCCCAATGCAAGGAGGCATCATTCAGTGAATATCCCCAGCAAACACACAGCCCAAATCCGTTTCCCTTTCCTCTCCAGGCAGCAGCACGTTCCCAGCCAGCCGACGGAAGCCACCGACTATGGAGAACTACACTGTGAGTGCTGGGCACCTCTTTTCCATGGGGATCCCCTTCCCATGAGCTCCCATTCGCAATCCCACCAGTTCCTTTCATGATGGGACTCGCAAAACTATTCATCAAGGGAGAATTTCTCCGTGCTGCTTTCATCCCAGTGCTTGTGGTGACAAATCCCACATCCATGGTGGATCTCTCAGTTCAGACTCTGCTGTTCACCTTCTTCATTTTCTCCTCCCTGTGGTGTTTGTTTCAAGCCCGGCCCAAGGCTCAGCCCCACACTGGAGGATGCTTACAGAGACAGGGGTGGGGAAATATCTCAGAGGTGGCTCTGCAAGTGCAGGCAGCAGCAAAAGGGAGGATGCTGTGGTTGGAGGCAGGGGATGTAACCCCACCACGCGTGCACCTTGCTCTGCTTGCAGCTCGAATTTCATTGCAGAGCAGCAGGCTGAGATGTAAAGAGAGAAAATGCCTCCACCAATGGGAAAATGCCCCAAAGCCCATCATCTCTGCTCCTGCGTATCTTCCTGCACAGAGTGGGCAAACGGGGTTGGGCAGTCAGAGCAGAACCCATCATCTGCTGCCCAAACCAATGGTGGTTCTCCCCTGTTCCCATATTGGTACTGAGCACTCACGGTGTATTTGTTCCCCCACAGATGCCACCATTGTCCACTATCAAAGGGACAAGGTGAGTTGGAGTCCTTCCCGCTGGAATTGAGTGATACGCTCCTCAGACACGTCATGGTATTGTTTGTTCACCTCCTCATGCATCTCCTGTTCTTACGTTCCCTCTGCTTGCAGAAAAATGGCAAATCACGAGATACTTTTTCTAGCCACACATCACACTCTCCTCTCTGACTTCTGCAAACACCTCCCCCTGTTGTGCAGAATTGCAGCCCCTTGTTGCTGCTGCCACAACTGTGCGGTTCCTCCTCGGAAGCTCCAGAAATGGTTCTATTTGAGGAGTTGGAAGAACATTTCTGAGAGTTGGAAAGAAAGCAAAGGGGGAAAATCTTGCCAACAATTATGAAGAAGAGTCTATCTAGCAAGGAAGTGCTGCCCCAGATGTGCTCTTATTTTTGCTAGCTGTCTCCTGCCTGCTTCTTCCTGCGTGCGTGGCTCTTGGTGCACCTGGAGTCTCCTCGTTCAGGGCCTGCAGGCTGTAGCTGCAGTAATTGGGCTTTTCTTTCCCCTCCTGCCTCCTGTGAAGCAGATAAATGACAGCAGAGCCCTGTAGGCTACAGCATGGCAAAAGCCCTGGGACTGGGTCACGGCCACTGTGTTTCCTTGCACAGGGCTCCTGGGGTGTAACGTGGGGCAGAGAGTATTTATGGGGTTTGCTCTCATGTCACATCTGGCAGAATAAGATTTATGACTTGCTTATGTACACAATGCCTGCAATATTAATAAAACATCACAGATACACCAAAGTGGAACATAATGATGTTGTCATGCAAATCCACAAGCTGCACTTTGCTGCATCATCAATCTCACCACAGTCTTGAATCAGAGGAATCACGGAGTGATGAGCTGTGGTTATGCATTACTGCTGTGGCTTCAGGTGGAAGAAGCTCTGAAGATGCCCAGGCTGGCTGTGTTTTGGTACCCACTGTGAGCCTGAAGTGCAAGGATTCTGTCACAGCCCTGTGCACAGAACGTCGCTCTCAGGGTGCATTCAGAGAGAATTACACCAGATTCGACTGGGAAGACTAAGGGAATCTTCTGTGCCTCTGTGTCACAGACTGGCTTTGTTCTGTCACCGTGTCTGTGACTGATTAAACAGCAGAACAGAAGTGAAAATGAAGGCAGGAGCAGCAGCGGGCTGCGCACCCACCTGTGGTCTGATTATGCTTTGAAGCTGAGTGTTTGTTTGTGAAAGGCTCTGTGTGGTTTTGGGGTTTCCTCGTCTCTTGGACAATGTCATGGCACTTACAGGACTTCTACACGGAGCACAAATTCCTCAAAACGACGTTGAAATTTGCTCACACGGGGCCAGACGAGCCTTATGTGGTCACAGGTGTGTGCATCAGGGCTCATCAGACTCAAACCCTCCTCATCTAACGAGGAGAAATGAGTACCTCTGAGACCTGAGCTGAGGCAGGTCAGTGAAGATGCATCTCAGTACTGCATCTCAGACAGATGAACGTTTCCAGCATGGGAGGCACAAGGGCAAAAGCCAATGAACACAAAGGCAATGAAGTGGGCAGATGTTTAGAAAAATCTTTACTTCCTGACTGTGAAATGACTTCTTGTTTCCTAATGCACACCCAACCAATGGATCGTTGCTCAGAGATCACACAGAATCACAGAATTGTAGGGGTTGGAAGGGACCTCCAGAGCTCATCGAGTCCAACCCCCTGCCAAAGCAGTTCCCTACAGCAGGTCGCACAGGTCGGCATCCAGGCAGGTCTTGAACATCTCCAGAGAAGGAGACTCCACCACCTCCCTGGGCAGCCTGTTCCAGTGCTCCGTCACCTCACTGTACAGAAGTTCTTGTGCACATTGGTGCAGAACTTCCTATGCTGCAGTTTTCAGCCGTTTCCCCTTGTCCTGTCTCCACTGACCACTGAAAACAGTCTGGCCTCGCCATTCTGCCCCCCACACCTCAGATACTGATAGACCTGGATCAGGTCCCCTCTCAGTCTTCTTTTCTCAAGGCTGAACAGACCCAGTTCACTCAGCCTTTCCTCATAGCAAAGATGCTCCAGGCCCTTCACCATCTTTGTGGCCCTCCGCTGGACTCTGTCCAAGAGATCCTTGTCTTTTTTGTACTGGGGAGCCCAGAACTGGACGCAGAGCTCCAGATGAGGCCTCACCAGGGCAGAGCAGAGGGGGAGGATCACCTCCTTCGACCTGCTGGCCACGCTCTTTTTAATGCACCCCAAGATGCCATTGGCCTTTTTGGCCACAAGGGCACACTGCTGGCTCATGGCCGACCTGTCGTCCACCAGGACACCCAGGTCCCTCTCCACAGAGCTCCCCTCCAGCAGCTCATCCCCCACCCTGTACTGGTGCATGCAATTATTCCTCCCCAGATGCAAGACTCTACACTTGCTGTTGTTAAACCTCATCCGGTTTTTTTCTGCCCAGCTCTCCAGCCTGTCCAGCTCTCGCTGAATGGCAGCACGGCCTTCAGGCTGTCAGCCAATCCTCCCAACTTTGTATCATCAGCAAACTTGCTGAGGGTGGCCACCATCCCCTCATCAAGGTCATTGATGAAGATGTTGAACAAGGACCCAGCACCGACCCCTGAGGAACACCACTGCTTACAGGCCTCCAACCAGACTCTGCACCACCAACGACGACCCTCTGCGCTCTGCCACTCAGCCAGTTCTCAACCCACCTCACTGTCCACTCGTCTATCCCACACTTCCTCAGCTTTGTTATAAGGATGTCGTGGGGGACAGCATCAAATGCCTTGCTGAAATCAAGGTAGACTACATCCACTGCTCTCCCCCCATCCACCCAGCCAGAGACAACGTCATAGAAGGCCACCAGGTTGGTCAGACACGACCTCCCCCTGGTGAACCCATGCTGACTACTCCTGATAACCTCCTCTTCTTCCAGTTGTCTGGAGATGGCATCCAGCACAGCTGTTCCATCACCTTTCCTGGGACAGAGGTGAGGCTGACTGGCCTGTAATCACCTGGATCTTCCTTCTTGCCCTTTTTGAAGACTGCAGTGACATTGGCTCTCCTCCAGTCTTCAGGCACCTCCCCCATTATCCAAGACCTCTCAAAGATGACAGAAGCGGTTCAGCAATCACCTCTGCCAGCTCCCTCAGCTCCCGTGGATGCATCCCATCGGGTCCCATGGATTTATGAACATTGGTGTTGCCTAGGCGCTCCCAGACCACCTCTTCCCTGACTGCAGGGAGGTCTTCCATCCCCCAGACCCTCTCACTAACCTCCAGGGTCTCGGATTCCTGAAGGGGAGCTTTCTCACTGAAGACAGAAGCAAGACAGAATACAAGAAGGTATTGGAGACAAAACCATAAAAGGTGTCTGGAGGACCTCCAGACTGGGCAGGCGTGACTTTGATGCCCTGCTCCTGCCCTCTGGCAGGACAGTTATTATAACCAACCATCTCCATCCTTTGTCAGTGTGCTGTTCAGGGGCACCAACATCTCCAGCAGCATCTTTTTCTTTGAGCTGAGCGAGTGACTCACGTTCTTTTAAGTAAAATCAATGTTAAAATTTTGCATTCTGCTGATTAATCAAAATTTGGCCCCATCTGCAGAATCCATCCATGAAAAGACTCAGCAACTGAAATTCTAGACGTTGTGTGAAACTGTAAGCCTTGTTGATAAGTCAGGCAGGTTTGGTAAGGAAGATCTCAAAAGACACAGCAACGCTTGCTACCAATTAACATTCCTTATCTCTGGACTAAGGTTGATAAGGAGATTAATAATTCCTTTCGTCTTGAGATGGAGTCTGGCCAGGCCAGAGAGCGCTAAGAAAGAGGGATGCAAAAATAGCACAGGCTGATTCTGAGCACGCAGGAGGTTCATTGCTCAGCACAGAGTGAGTTCTCAGCACACGGCAACGTTTTGTGGATCTACAGATTGCTCCTATCCCTCTGTTGGGGGAATCAGCCTCTGCCCAGGACTTAACCTCCTTGCTCCTCCATGTCTTACCTGCCATAGGAGGGAAGCATCCTTGTGTTGCAGTTAGATGCAAAGGGTTCTTTGGTGTTACAGGGAGGAAGAGTTGGATGTCCACTGCCTATAATCAACACTGAGCCTTATTGCAGAATTAAAAATGTATTTCAGCTAATGTCAATTAGGAAAGGACTCCACATCTTAAGTCTGTAGATCAAAGGGAGTGAACTCTGAACAGTGGAACTGAAATGAAGACTGAAGCATTAAAGATTAACTCCTGGTACAGCTCTGCCTGAAGGTCAGCTGCTGTTTTATTGTAATGCCAGCACTTTCTTGTCAAGGTGCACTGTAAACGGAGACTCTTTGTCCTTGGGTCTTGGCAGATATCACTGAGAGAACTTGGTTTGAAATGGGGGTGACTTTGAAGATCATGCCTTGGAATGCAGGTGTTCTTGGATTTTCATTGGACTCACCTCTTAATATTACCTCTCACAACTGTTTCTTCTTTGAAACGTGATGCAGCAAGCACTGTTACATGGGTTGATAGTGACAGGACAAGGGAGAATGGCTTTAAAAGTTTTAAATGGTTTTAAGACAGGGGAGATTTAGGTTAGACATTAGGAGGAAGCTTTTCACACAGAGGGTGGTGAGGCACTGGAACAGGTTGCCCAAGGAGGCTGTGGATGCCACATCCCTGCAGGCATTCAAGGCCAGGCTGGATGTGGCTCTGGGCAGCCTGGGCTGCTGGTTGGCAACCCTGCCACACAGCAGGGGGTTGAAGCTTTTCAACACAGGCCATTCTATGATTCTATGAAGTATTTTTAGCCTGCCTTAGAAACAAAAATGAATTTTCTTCAAGAAAGAGAAGAGAAGAAGGAGGAAGAAAAAGGCTGTCCTTGGTGTCAGGGAGTACTCAAAAGTAATATAACATACACGAATCCATGGAGCCCGACAGGCTGCATCCACCAGGTCTGAGGGAGCTGGTTGATGTCATTGAAAGACCACTCTCAGTTATCTTTGGAAGTTTCATAGCAGTTTGGAGAGAAGGAAGAGAGCAAACATCAACTTCAAGGAAGGCAGAAGGAAGACTCAGGTAACTACAGGGCAAACCTTTTCATCACAGACCCTGGAAAGGAGCTGGAGAAACCCCTCCCCCAAACAAAACAAGAATGTAATTGAGTGCAGTCAGCATGGCTCTGTGAAGGGCAAATCATGCCTTATTAATCCGAAAGGCTTCTACAACGAGGTAACAAACTTGGTAGATAAGAAAGCAGAGGGAGCTGTTCACCTGCTCTTGGTGATAGGCTTTTGATTCTGTCTCCTGTAATATCCTCGTGGAGATACTGAGTGGAACATTCAGTGAAGTGGAAATCAGTTGAACAGCCAGGCTGTGTTGGATTTTCATGCTCATATAAAGGGGAGAGGATGACTTTCGTTGGAGCAGGTTGATCTTATAGGACTGCAGCCACTGGAAAGGACCCACAGTGTGGGGAAAGGTCCCACAGCAGGGAAAAGTGTGAGGAAGAATCACAGAATCACAGAATCACAGAATCACAGAATCACAAGGTTGGAAATGACCTGCAAGAAGGAGCAGAAGATAATTATTTGCTCATTCCCTGTGTCCTGTGCCACTCAGTGAGGAGTGGGGTTGGGAATAAAAGGGTGAAACTGAGCCCAAGAAGGGCAGCAGAAGTAAGAAAAGTGTTGGTTCAATTTTGTCTCTGGTTCTCACCACTTGTATCTATTTTAATTTGTGACAAATTGAATTTTCACCAGAGTGAATCTGCTTTATCTATTGTGACAACTGCTAAGTGATCTCCTTGCCTTTATCTCAATTCATGACCTTTTTCATCTTCTTTTCTGTGTTTTGTTGAGGAGGGAGGAGTGGAAAACAGCTGGGTGGGCATCTGGCATCTGGACAAGACAACAAACTGGGAAGAATGTCTTCAACATCAGAATTGTCCTGTTGCCACTTAGATATACCTGGAAAGGCAAATGGGAAACTGATAAAGCTCAGAAAGAGGAAGAACAAAGTCCTACCAACGGGGAAGAAAGGCCACAGATGCCAGCACCACCTTCTTTCATGTGATCCATAATTGCCTTTCTTTCAGTGCCATGTGCTGTTTATATTTAACTGTGCAGTCAAGAGTTCCAGTTGAATTTATGAGTTCACCGGTTTCTGTACAGGTAAATTCTCATATATCCATTTCTTTTTTTTTTTTCATTTCCTTCTGATCTGTATCTTCAAATTATGTTTCCATTCGTTGGCTTCTGTGGAATAGACTCCTATTTTTAAAATAGTTATATTTGGTTTAAAGACGGGGTTCATCTGTCCGAATGACTCCACCTGTGGTTCAGCTGACATTTGGGATGTCGGCCTTTGTCTTGAGACCTGGTGCTCAATTCCTTCAGCTGAGGCACCTGGTGACTTTACTGTCACCCCAAAATGCAGCAAATGTCGCATGCACGTCTGTGTAAAAGTCACAGGGAGGAGAGAAGGAGGGGAAATACTATGGAAAAAGGCTCATTGGATGAGATGAGGACAAGAAATGAATGCGTTCATTATTGTTACTACTGGCGCTGGCTCAGTATAGGGGAGATTAATGTAATTTATTGGTAATTGATAGAAGACTGGAGAAAAGTGAACTAAAGCAAACTGAAAGCACCTTCCTCCCATCCACCCAATTCTGCCTCGTCCCCTCAAGCAGCACAGAGGAGTAGGGCAAATATGGTGGGGCAAAACGCTTAGAGGAGAAAGCCAAGCGAGCTGACCGAAGGTTTGTCACGTACCTTGTGCACAGCAATAAAAGCTCAGAGAAAGGAGGAAAGTGAAAGAGTTGGTGGTTACAGAAAAATAAACATGCACTCAGCAAGGCGTCAGCTACTCAGGTGCAAACATCCTGCCAGCAGGAAAGATCAAGCAGAAGTATAGGATCAGTGGCTATGTTTTCATCATGTGGTTTTGTTTTGGCCACTGCTTGCTCTAAATTACCTTTCAGGTCAGATTTAAAAGCTCTGCAAGAAACAGTGTGGCAGATGAACAGTCCTGAGATGAGTTGTTTCTTCTGTGTTCTGCTTCTGCTCCAGATGGCTCGTGCAGGTAAATGCCTCCTCCCTGTAATATCTGAGAGCTTCTCGTAAGCAATTAATCAATCAATCAAACAAACAAATGCATTTTAAAAAGCAGTGCAGCCTTTTGCATTCCTGTATCCAGGCGCTAGGGGATGCTCTCCAGTTCTGGAAGTAGTTTCATGGCTTCCAGCTGAGTTGGAAATATCCAAAGAATTTTCTAGGACGGTTTCTCTGATGAAGCAGATTTTTTATTCGCCGTTGCAAGCAGGAGAGCCCCGAGAAAACAACGGTTCCATCTTGTATCCCTATTGCCTGATGCTGAGCTCTTTCTCCCCTGGTTCCTCACTGGCTGAGTGCTGCAGGTTCACACTCTTTCTCGACTCTTCTCTAATCATACAAACACCAGGTAGATACGGTAGACACAAATCTTTGCTTCTCAAACACACACGTCTTCATTGGTTAATTGACTTCTAACAATTGCAAGCATTTTGGTGATGACTTTTCGGATTTACAACATAAACACAGAGTCTTTTAATTGTTTAACCCCCCCTCTAACATTGGTGCCCTTTCACACTGGGTCGTTGTTCTGGTCGTTCATCTGTCCTTGCATAGAGATAAGGAGGATAGAGGGCAGCATCTTGGAGTCTGTCTATGGCCTGAATAGACATTCATAAATGAATGCTGGAATGCATTTCCACAAAGCAAGACAGTTCTGCTCTGCGTAAAGGCCCTGACTCTTGAAAGTTTGTTAAATATATTGTATTTCCACCAGTCTAATGAGCAGCCTTACAACATGTTTCTTATTTCAGGATGCTATGCTCGTATAGTTTAGAACCTTCAAATTATTTGCAGCATCGTGTGAAAGCATCCATCAAGCAATTTAGTAATTACATTTCTAAAATATGTTACTAACATGTGTGGTATTCTTACTTTCTACATCAGCTATTTCTAAGGGCACGTTACGGCTTAATTCTTTATTATTCTTACATCACTTACGAGTTCTTGCGTTGATTCTTAATTCTTTAGATCAAAGATTGTCCTTTTTAATGTTTAAGGCAGAAACAACACTTTCATTTCCCACAGCTGTCATTTCCATCTGGAAATGAAGAGTTCAACCCCCCTCTTCTCCTCACTCTACCTTTAGCTGTTTAATTCATTCCAGCTCCACCACTGCGGTAACAACAGTTTCATTTTTGTGTAGCAGAGCAAAAGAAAACACAAATTCAAAGGAAGGATTGGATAAGTTCCTATCAGCAAAATCTATCAAATGCTTCTGTAGACAGACGTGACTCGGGAGGTCCGTGCTTCACTGGAAGACAGGAGAGAACAGTGTGGGAATACAACCAACCACCTACTTGCTCTGCTCTTATCTCCTTGTGGAGTCATCCTACACTGCCCGCACTGGGAGGCTGAATTTGGTTGCCTGAACCATTTAATGCCATGTGAGGCCCCCTCCTTTTCTGCAGAAGGACGCGGGAGTCCTGTGGGTTTTGACTGAATCCTGCTTTGAAATCACAACTGAATGCTTCAATGTAGGCTTCTAAATTCAGGAGTCTAATGTTTTTTCTTTCTTTCCTGCTAGAAACTCTTGATGTATCCAAATTGATTGAAGCGAACCACAACCTCCTCATAGGTGTCACTGCTTTAGTCTCCGTTCTCCTTCTCATGGCCATCATCATTGCGTTCTACTATTGCTTCTGTTCAGGTACGGGCATTTTCTCCCAACATCTGCAGCTTGTATGTGCTCCAAGTTCTGCTGCCCTCATTCCATCCTTATTTACACGGCATCCAGGTGGAGATGTGAAGAGTGAAGCACTCAGTCCATACCTTGCCAAAGTGTGAGCAGTAACTGCAGATGTTTGGAACCGATAATCATTCTCCCCCATCCTTCCTTCTCACTGTTGGGTTCAGCTCATCCACGTGGTCCAGAGCCATAAAACCTGGCTCTGATCTTGGCACTGCTGGTCAT